TATGTATGTTTCAGGCAATAATCCATCAGTGTTGGATCTTATTTTATCTGTGTTAAGTGGCAGCATCATGCCAAAAAAAGTTGCCTTCCTGGTAGCAGCATCTGTTTAGTACTGAAAGTTGTTTTCTTTTTCATCAGCTTTTCAATAGGTGAACTATGAAACCTCAGTTATTTTTAAAAAACAAAAACACCCGGACTGTATTACCCTCCTTTGCAAAGAACGTATTTGGATTTCTAGAGCATTTATAATACCATCTTACAGCTGGAAATGCTTGTGTTTTGTACTGAAAGACTAGTGGGAAAAAATTACTTGGCTACTGAGATGGCTTGCTTTTTTTTTCTAGTAGCTGGACACTTCTTACCTTCTACTTGCTTTGGTATAGTGCTGGTTATATACTAAGTACCTTGGTGTTCTCTTCTCTCCCCTTTCAGTAACACCAAAATCTTTACCTTCTGAAACAGTCTTTTTCTGAGAGTTTTAGGATATCATGATAGAATTCTACTCTTAGATTTTAGGTCACCTCTTTTAAAAGAGTAAAATCAACTGCTACGTCTGTCCAGGCAATAATGCTAAAAGATGGAGAATACATTGAAAGTGGTGTAACAGTAACAAGCTTTGTTGTCATGATTGTTGAATTTGAGACATTAAAGCAATTATCAGATTCTGTAATACAGAGTTACCTAAATGAAGTAGGGAGGGAGTATTCTGGGGACACCGTCTTCACTGAAAATAGCACAAAGGCATCACTTCACTCTCCCAGACATTTGGGTTGGTGCAAGGAGCTCTCAGGAGTAGCTAAGTGTGTCTGTTGTGATGTCCTGGAGAAAGGAGCCTTTGTCCACAAGTATTTCTGTAGATCTTCAGGATGTGGTGGATTCCAATAATAGACTTGATTGCCACAAGCCACAGCTGCCTCTATTCTAAGCCAAAGGGTCTGTGTTCTGCAGTAGGCCTAGGAGTCCACTTGCACTAGGGGATAAAAGCATTCCCTTTTCCTTTGAAGTAGAACCTTTCTGTCAATTCTGCTGGAGGGAAAAAAAGACAAGGTAATTATTTTCAGAACCATTATAGCTCCAGAGGAGTTAACTTATGAGCCTAATTAGTCGGTAAGTTGCTCCTGTTATGGAGCCTTTCTGTTACTCTAATCTGAATGTTGGAGTCCTACAGATTTCCAATTTCTGTCTGTTTTTTTTTTTTTTTTTTTTTTAGGAGTACTTTGAGGAAAACTGACTTTTGTTGGTCAGCATGTTTGGTAGTACAGCCTTATGGTTATATTTCTCCCTATGTCCTCATGTAGTGTGTTCAGAAACAGTAAGACATAAAGCATATTCAGTGGGGACCAAAGTCTGATAATGGATTCCAAAGGTGCATTTCATTGGATTGTTTTTCCTTGGTGAGACTCAGTGTAGTATGAGTCACTGTTTGGGAAAATCATGCAGAGACTCAAGTGGTCATAAGAATCATTTGCTTGTCCATAGCAGAACTGGTTAGAGTGTTTGTGGTGATATTTTCCTGATTCATTGTGGACACTTCCAGTATTGGAGACTGTTCCAGGTGTCTCTTAGCCTCATGTTTCAGTACCTGACTGCCATTACTATTAAAGATATTTTCTCAACGTGTAATATGAAAGTTCTGTCCTCTAAGCCCATTACTTTCCTCTGCACCTGGATGTAGATGATAGTGTGTTCCTTATTTTTGTGAAGATTTTTTTCACATTACAGTGTTTGCCAAGAAGCTTGGAGCCTTAGGCTAGGCATGTTGCTCATGCTCTCACTCTTTTTTCAGGTATCATGATTTTTTTAGAACTCACTTCAGAACACTACAGAACTCAATTTTTATGACTAGTTTGATGTTGGAAATACAAATTGTGTCAAGATCTCTCTGCCAGGAAAGGTCAGCAAATACACAGGGTTGTGCCACCAATGGGGAAGAACAATATTCTGTTTAATATGATATCTTGTTCCTAATGTTTTTATTATTATTTACTTCTTTTTAAGATAGAAATTTGTCTTGCTGTTTGCTAACCTGCTTGTCAGTAACCTGTGAAGCGTAACAGTGTTAGCTTGCATTAGGCAAAGTATCAGTAGTCCACTTCTAAGACTATTGCTAGAAAATATTTCCTTTTGTTCATCTGTGCTTAGGGTAAATGAAACTGCTATGAAATAGGAATATTTCTGTGGCTGGAAGAATTACATTTCTCATTCTGCCTCCTGAATCAACTGGATGCTGAGAATTAATTGCATTCTGGTGGAAGAAAAAATGATCGTGAGTTCGTTATTATCTGAAGACATAAATGTCCCTTGGTGTAGGACTACTCTTCAGTTGACTAGATATTGCCTTTTGAGGACTCAAATATTATTGGCTTTTTGAGGAGAGAATCTTTGCTGGAAGTGTTTTTGTTGTGCGGTCTCTGAACCTGGAGGTTCTAGTTGTGGTTTATTAGATATACACAGAAGATTGGTGTTCTTCAACAAGCACAATCCTTGCTTGGAGAATTTGCGTTCTTACTCCTGAGTTTGACTCCATCATTCCTAGTTTGAAAGGTTTAAGAAATAGTCTATGGTTAATTTATCCTTTCTGTGCACTCTGCTGGGAACTTCATAACAGAATGCCGGTGGATAACTAGAGGTAATTCTGTCCAAGAAGATACGTACCAGTCACCTTAATAGCGGGGAGGGCATTTTCTTTGACTAGTATACCTAAACTCCTTTCTGTCATGGTACCACTTTTCATTATGTTTCATAGGAAAGTATGAAAAAGAAATGGGACAGTAGAATAAAGCTGTGGTTTAAAAGAGATCTCTCTTAATTGGCAGAGACACTTGCCTTTGAATGCTGGATTTTTTGCTTTTCATAAACAATTACAGAAA